GAACACTCGCCATCATTTCACAGTTAATGTGTCCTAAGAGTGATGTCATCTAGAGGACACTTACTTTAGTGATATAACTCGTAAAGGTGATAATAGGGGAAAAGATGTAGATTTAAATTTGGAACTAAAGATAGACTGAAAATGTAGTTTCATAGGATGCTATTGGAAGTCTCACAAAAAGAAAATACAGTCAAATAATGAACTAAAGATAGCTGAAAAATCCTTCCTGGTGAATCACTTATACCAAAGACAGAATGCAGTTTTGGCATATTATTCTGTAAATGCCCTTTAAACTCAAGTGCCAGAGCTGGTTTTTCCTCCCAAAACGTAACACAGGGAAACAAAAGACTGAATCTCAGGGCATGGTTTTAGTGTAAGTGGTCCCTGCTGCTCCCTGGTTCCTGAGACAAAGATTTTAAAAGCGCTGTGCGTCTTGTTTAAAAGATCTTAGTTCTGTTATGAGCCGATGAGACGCAGATAATCTTACTGTTGAGGGTTTTTTTAAAGGAAGCAATAGCTTTGAAAAACGCGTGTGTCTAGTGTGTCCTAATGACTTCTGGTCCAGTTAGTCTGAGAGTCTGATCTCTCTAGCAGGCCGTCTGTCTGAGCAGTGGAGGGTGGGGGGGGGGGACTGGTTCCTCGGTTCCTCCCACACAGACCAGATCAGGTTCCCCCTACGCCTACACAATTTAGCACACACACAGATGACCATTTACACACTCGTATGCCGATGAACTTATGTATGCATGTGCAGTCACACGCTCTCATGCGCGCACACACACACACACACGTTTAGCAGAAGGATCTGTGATATAGCTTAGCTGTCTAATGATCTCTGTATTTTACATTGATGAAAACAGATCAGCTGAGAGGGCAGACTGCTGTGGCGTATTTAAGTGGGCGGTTTTGGACGAAGGTGAACCGGAGGTTGGACGATCGACCGGCTCATATTGTCAGTATAATGGTCTCTGATGAAGATGCCCCCATGGAAATCTGGCATGTGAATACTGATAGCTGGAGTAATAAAAAGCAGCTTTTATCCTGGCATCTGCACAGTCTTAGGTGGTATCAGTGCCAGAGCGGCTGGAGGATGTAGCCTGAAGACAATTTAGATAAATGAAACATATTTGGAATATGACTGAAAACTAGATGTGTAACGGTACGCAAAACTCAGACTTCAGTACATACCTCGGTTTTGAATTCGTGGTTTGGTATGTTTTCGGTACAGTGAAATAAAGACATGAGAAACATGCTGCAATCTACTAACAAGACATAAAGTGCTTCAGAAGGTTATCAAATAAACAAGAAGTACATTTTATAATAATAAAATGAATATCCATTAAAGTGCAGCATGTAGAAAATAATCGATACATTCAATGTATTTGCATCAGAAAGATAAATGTATCCACAATATCTGAAGAAAGAGCAGATCTTTTTTTTTTGCCTTTATTAGCCACAGTGAGAGAGAGACAGGAAAGTCAGGGAGACAGAGCGGATGACATACAGCAAAGGCCAGGGGTTGGATAAAAGAAAACACAAACTACTTGTACTGTGCTTTAATCACTTATGAAGGAAAAGGTATCACAAAAAGACATTGTGTTCTCAGCTGTCAATTCATTTTCCTGATGCACATATGATCCTTGGTACCCTGGGACTCATAGAGATGATGATTTGATTTGAAGTAACTGCAGATTACTTGATTTGTTCTCTTCAAAAATTCTGTCCTGACATTACTTCCTTCAGTCACTCAATTTAATGGTAGCAATTTAATGTAGCAGTAGAGAGTGAAGTTACAAGTTATTCTGGCGAGTGGTCATTTAGTGATGGGACCCAACTTTGTTTTCCCCAGAGTAAAAGTATTAGAGTATTACATTCAGTCCATTTGTTCTTATCCTGTAAACACTCTCTTTGTCATTTTGATGCTATATTGGATGCAGTTTCAACACCTCTTGTTTATTCTTTACTGACGAGCAATGGCTACTAGGTGCAAACATGCCACTATGACAATGCAGTGTGCAATAAAAACTAAATTCATAAGAGATAGGTTGCCTGTTTATATTCATTTATTGCACCTTAGTTGCAGCATAACAAGCTCCAAACAAATCTGCTTTGCAAAATTTAGTTAGTAGTAAATAGTCATTAATTAGTAAATAGTTTAATATAATAAATATTAATATATATATATATATATTGAACTAAATGTCAACATATAGCAATCATGGAGCAACATTAGAATTCATTAAGCATTTATGGCTACGCAACAAATGTAAACCCAATATTCAAGCCCCTTTTAGCACTTGTTTTGTGCCAACTCCTGCTAAAAACATTTGGCTCTTTAGCAGCTAAATGCTCCACTATGTTTCCCAGCTAGTTGTCAAGTAAAACAGTAGCCTGCTAACAGTAAAGTTGCAAGTCACACAGTCAAAACAAAAAGTGTTGAGCTGAGGTCAACTGTCAGTTTCTCAGTGACCTCTTTCACATTACACACAGTCAGCTGAGTCATTGTTAATACCGTATGTATGTAAAAAAATATTTATTAATGCAGCTTTAAATAGGTTCATATACTATGAAATGCTTGGCGTCATAGTATAATTGCCCAGCCCTTACTCTACAGGCTCAGAAACTGCTGAGTAGGAAATTGAATATAAATCATGGAAATCTCAAATCAACCACCATTGTTTTTGCAAATAAGTGGATGTTTTTAAAATAAGTGGCTAGATGGCTCCTGGACCTTCTCTCAAAAGCATAAACAAGTCATTTCTGCATTTCTAAACTGTCATAACATGAAAATCAGTCAAGGAGACAGGAGCACTTCCTGTTTTTTTTCCAACTCATCCATGTTTTTGCGCTCAGATGGTACCCAGGTGAATAAGGTCTATTAATTAAGGATGGATAGGTAGCAGTGCTTTTCCTGAAGCATGACCTCCTGTTGACA